CAATTGAGAACATGTATGTATAAATGCATAAGCACGATTCAATATGCAAATATTTACAGAAAGAATCATAAATGTTCCTATTTAGAAATACATTGTTTGGTTTCCATGGTCTTTAAAAAACACTGCACCATTACTGACTTTGTTTATACAATTTAGAACAAGCACTACTCCTTTTAGAAAAGCAAAACCATCATAACCTTTTGATCATACTCTACAAAAGTAATTTCCATCATTGTTATGGCAGCTTCTGTGAGCTCACTCTTAAAAGAATGGATTTTTTGGGATAACGGACTAAAACATCTAACTAAGACTGTAACCCAAGAAAATTGATTAAACCTTTCTGATACATCAGTTTTGTTTGAAAGGTTCCATTATGATCAAAGACTTTCTTTTATGTTGACTGTTTTTAGTGAAATATTTATGCAGTTCTTAAATAATAGATTGACTGGTTTAGTCCATCAAGCCTGTCAGGGCTGAGTTTCTGCTTTGTCCCTGTAATTTGAATTCTTGAACAGACTGATCTTGGTAAGAAGAACCCCTTTGATATTGAGTAGAGATATCAAACCATTCCACAAAAATAATTCTTTTAAAAATATAACTCAGTCTTAAAAAGATCTATATACGAGAAGAGTTTTTTCGTCCTTTGATATTTGAGAGCACAAAAATCATTTGGAGGATGCAACATGGGAAACTTTATGTGAAGGCTGCCCACCTAGCCCAACTCAACTCTTTCTCCTCTGCCTGCTTTCCATTTCTCAGAATTCCCTACAATCAGAAGTGAATCCAGCAGTGTGCTGCAGCTGCCAAAAAAGTCAACCCCGTCCTAGGTTGCATTAATAGAGGGACAGAATCAAGATCAGATAAAGTGTTAACACCACTTTATAATGTTTTGGTAAGACCTCACTTGGAATAGTGCAGCCAGTTCTGGTTGTCATGATTAAAAAAAAAAGATGTTGAGACTTTAGAAAGAGTGAAGAGATGAGCAAAAACGATCATTAGGGAACTGGAAGCTAAAACATATGAAGAACAGTTGCAGGAATTGGGTCACATGATAGCAGTCTTCTAATATTTGAGGGGCTGCCACAACGAAGAGGGATCTATTCTCCAAAGCATCTGAAGGCAGGACTAGATGCAATGGATGGAAACCAATCAAGGAGAGAACCAACCTAGAACTAAGGAGAAATTTCCTGACAGTTAGAACAATTAACCCGTGGAACGGATTGCCTTCAGAAGTTGTTGATACACCATTGAAGTTATATCCGTAATATTGCCTACTACTTCTTTTGTTCAATAGTTGCAGATGTGCGTTTGTATATATTTTATTATAAAGTATGTTTTCAATTATTGCAGCACAACAGCCTTATTAGTTAGTAGCAGGTTATGTATTTCTGATCATAAAACAAAAGCTTTAGGAATTCTATTACCAATTCCTGTTAATGCTTGCTCAGTAAACAGAAGAAACGTGTATTTGAATGATATAAATGCAATGTAAATATTCAATTTGATAAAGTGTAGAAATAAATTGCTTATTTTAATCATTATTTTCTTTTGATTTAAAACAGTGATTATAATTCACTAATTATTCTGATACAATCTACTATAACGGCATTACTAAGGGAAGATCACTGCAAAATGAATAAATATTTTTAAAGCAATGAAAAATTCCAGTCAAGATTTGTTCTGTCAGCTTTCAGTATTGGGCTTCAAATATTGGCAGTCTCTACAGATTGCTAACAATGGAAAAAGAACTATGAACCATGAATTCAGAAAGCAATATAGTGTGTAATTGTGCTCAAGAGGTCAAAATCTTTCTATTGCTGCTGTACCTATCCTGGTTACATGCTAAAAATGAGATACCAGAGTGAATTTATTTTTTTAAGGACTATATTAAATATTGAGCCACCACACGAGAAAAGCTTCCCCAGTCATAGGTATACAGCACAAAAGGACAGGGACTTAACAGCCTAAATGTTGATTTGTATGTGACTGCTGTGATATGAAGTTGTACGTAAAAAGAAAGACTGCTGAGTTATGATCAATATATAGAAAAGCAGTTGTTCTCTTCACTGAACTGAAGTCTTAGACTAAAATCTGTAAAAGCTTTTATGTTTTCTCTTCATGCTTTAATCCTGCCAAATAGATTATCAAAGCTCATAGTTCAGGTCTCCTTCTTAAGCCTCTCTCTCTCTCTCTCTCTCTCTCTCTCTCTCTCTCTCTCTCTCTCTCTCTCTCTCTCTCACACACACACACACACACACACACACACACGATTTGAAGACTCTGCAGGATAACTGTAATTATAATGCCTTCAATAGCACATTGTCCTACCTTTTAATTAGTTAGCAATATATCAGAGGATCTTGTCTGATGTCTGCAAAACATAGCAAGTGTTTGGTGAAGACAAATTGTGAAAATGTATGTATAAAAAAATGCACTGGCTAAGTCTTCCTAATGAGGTTATAGAAACACATTCTCCTGGATCGAAGCCCATAATTTCAATGTACAAAACAGGAAATTTCATTTTTTAAATGTTAAAAAAAGAACACCTAGCTACCTCTACATTCTTTTTAGTTCCTAGCATTTGAGTAAAATTATTATCTACACTGTACTCTCTGAACCACAGGTTTTTTTTTTCCTTGCAGGTACTTGGTTTGTGGAAGGGGGATATTAAAATATGGATTTTTTCATTTGTTGCCTGAAATACTTGAGTACATTCTGAATAAAATTTATTTTCATAAAATATGCTACAGTATGAATAGTGGTTAAGAGTTTTAGTAAGCTCACATATTTTCAAAACTGAATTTAGTGTTTTGTTTGTTTGTCTGGCAAAAGATGTATGCTAGGTGACTGTTCCTGTTAATGTTCATTCTGCCGTAGGACAGGATGGAAAAGCTCCAATCCATCCCCAGGAAGATCAATGGCAAAAACTGTTTACATTCTTAGTGCTTCTGCTTAACAGCTAAATGAATTATGGGCACCAGAAGAAAATGTCTGTTGTGTTGCTGTATTTGTTGCTTTTCTTACATCTATTGCTTACCTTATCCTTTAAATAGTTTGGTTACTTTTGCATTTTGAATAATGACTTGATTACAGTATTTAGTTGGTTAAAATTATTTACATAAACTTGTATATTAATAACAAAACTATTCTAGAAAAATATATTTTGTATTTTATTGTTGCATTAACAAAGCTGAAACCTGCAAATCTGCGCATGTATTTTGAGGGATGTCCCATTTATTTCAATGGATTTTTTTTCTTATTTAACATACATGGCACTCCAACGTAAGTCAAATGCACTTCTAACCCATTTATCTTGTGGTTAAGATATCCTTACTTACAGTGTAAATAAAAAATGGAGTCAGACCTCAACTCCTGGTGATTCTTTGTGCAGCATTACTTGCAACCATGCAAAAGTGATCTGCAGTTGTTTTCTTTCAGCTAGGTGTTGTTTTTTTTATTTTAAACTACCCAATCCAACTCATAGTCTTGAATTTCCAAACTGCCTCCTTTCCAAGTATTACATGGGGTTGACCCTGTTTAGCTTCAGAGATCAGGCAACCACAGCTAGGTGCTGCCACCTGCTGATCAATCTTCACACTATTAGGGATAATGGGTATGAAAGAGGATGCCTTTTAAATAGGAAACACTCTTTTCTAAATTATGGAATAATCCGCCACCCCACTTTATTTAACATCCCATTTTATTTTATGCTTTTTATTTAAGAGTATAAAAAACATACCATTACCCTAACTTTAGTTACAAAATATGCCTTGTTTTATAAATTGAAATGTGTTTTTCCTTCAAAATGTTGCTTTCCTCCCTGCTCACCTACACTTCAAAAATGTTTAACTATATTATGAGTACAAACTAAGATTCTAGTTTTGTTTGTATATAATGGAAACCAATAAAACAAATGAAAAAAAAATGTCACATTTGGCCAGCAGAAGTGAAATTTCCCACAGTCCTATTCTCATATTATTTGCTTTCCTTTTTATCCTAGACATGGATTGATAAGGTTCTAGCTCTTATAATTTTCAATATACTTTTGGAAATTTTCAGAAAGATATTATAGGTGTTATGTGTTTTCTAGCTCTGTACAAAGTCAAACTCTGTAACATGTGGCTGGACATGTAAAGAAAGTTCTTTGGATTGTTAAAGCAGCTTTGTATTTTATTTTGCTCTTTTAATTTCTAGCTCTGGTATGCAGTGAAAGTGCTAAATATCTACCTACTTCTCAATAACTATCCAGCTTTTCCTTAGATTTATATCATGTTTTTAACTGTAGTGTCTGTAACTCTTCCACTCTTCTTTCTTTAAACCAGGGCTGACAACCTTTCATTGTCATTAGGACTTGGTATTCTGGGGGTGAGGGGCAAGGGACAGTGGGCAGGGCAAAGATACATAGTGAGCAAAGATGTGGATGGGTCAGTGATGGGGGTGGTGGTCAGATGGGAGTCATGAATATGCTTTTCGTTAGGAAATTGTGTTAAGCCTTTTTTTAAAAAAAACACATATACCACAGCTTTCATGATCCTTGTTGTTTAAATGGTTCCATAGCTGATAGTTGAGTTCTGTCCCTTAAATCTATGTAAGATTTACATGCAACACTATTTCCTAACAGTATTTTTGAGAATTTGTCAAGATGCAATGCAGTTATGGGGAAAAGGTAAGAAAACCTGCTTATTAAAAATATCTTCTAAATTTGGAGCTGGCATATCTGCCTCAAATTCCAGTATAATGGAATTTTTGGTGACTCTTTAAGTATGAAGCCATCGGAGCTTCAAACTGAGCAGCAAAATAAAGAAATGTCCTATGAAATCATCCAGTCCTCATTGATCTCAATGTTTTATGCATGAGAGGGAAGGATTAAAGGTGTCTGAAAGAGTTACTGTGAACGTTTACTAAATTATAGTTTGCTTCATTATCCAATGGAAAGTGAAGGGGAACCTTTTAGCTGACAAAAACAATAACTGTCACACTTAAAAAAAATAGCTGCTTACCGGTGGGGTGCTGAAAATATAGAATGATGAACCCTTCAGTGCCAGGAACTTGAATGTATACAGTTGGGGGGAATCTTCTCCCTGGAGTCTCTCATTCACCCACCCCATATGTATCACCTTCAGTGGATAAAAATGTTTACAAATTAATTTCAATAAATTCTGATTATTTATCTCAGAACTAGCACCTTAAAGTTATTGTGGACATTACAAGCACAGAAATTGTCCCAATTTTAAGGAATGTACATTGTTCTATAATTATGGGAAACTGAACAACACAGAACAACAAGACAGATTTGAAGGCAGAAATACTGTATATGTTATAGCTACAGAATATGAGAGGCCAAGAGAGAGCACTTGTGTTGTATGTTTAGCACATACAAGGACCTAGTTTTATTATTTCTTCAATGAAGAATATTCAGTGGGATCTTAAAGATTTTTGTCCAATATTCTACAGATTGGCTGCCCACCAAAAAACACGGACTATTATGTGTTTTCAATGCAAAGAAGAATTGACCACAACCCATCACTTAAGTTCTTTACACATATAAATTCAAATTCAAAAATATTTTAGAATGTACAGAACTGTTTGATGAGAGCAGTCATCCTTATGAAGTAGGCCAGACCAAGAAAGAGACTCCATGGAAGACTAAAAATTATTTTTATTTAGATTGGTTATAGTGACATAATGTTGCAACTATATCTCTTACTTCCCATCCTCCCTCTTTTATATGCAAGCCTGTGATATTTTAGTAATCCTCTCCCATCCTTTAGATTTAAGCAATGTATGCCTTTGGGTTGCCTTGATAATGGATCTTCCTTCTCTCATCATGGCTGTTTCCCACTTTACTTTCTACATGAGAAGCCATGTTCTCCACCCATACTACAAAAACTGTCTCAGCTTCTGTCAAACCCCCTCAGTTCTGCACCGATAAAGCAGATCTGAAGGCACGGTGAACGGGGATTGAATGAATTTAGAGATGATGACTCAAAGAACTGCAACTATAGAAAAGTATCCAGCTCTTCTTTATTATGGTCTGTATGATTTGCACATACAATTGAACTGCAAGCTTCATATGGTGACCTAGAAGAGCTGCCCTCTCTCTCCTAAAGGATGAATTTCTTTAGGAATGTAGGTCCAGTCTATAGTGCTGGATAAAGACAGAGTGCTCAGTTCTTGGGGCCAATCAACATAGCTCTAGCAAGGTGTATTTGGTGTTGCTGGTATTGCCAATACTTTTGTGCAGGGAATATGGATCAGAAGAAGCACAACTGTTTGGTCAGCTCATAGCAAAGCTTGTCACTATCCATGGGGATAAACATTTGGGGGAAAGACCACATCCTTTAGATGGACTCTGTCAGGCCAGAAATAAATATCAGCCCAATTAAATGATATTGCACAGTCTGAGTATAGCAACAGCATTTAGAGAATGTAACAATATTTCCAACAGCGTTGAAGGGCTGGGGAAAATATGAGCAATGATAACGTCTTGATTTAAGAGGAAGGTTGAGACCAACCTTGAAAAGAAAGAAGCATCTGGAGAAAGAATTTTTAGTCCCTATGAAAAATAGCAGTGGATCTCTTTGTAAGGTACATTCTCCTGCTTGACAACCTGACACAATTCTTGCTTCAGACTTTAGCAAATGCATCAATCTTATCAGATGTTGTTATAAAACTTGTTAAGTGAGGAAGAAGGTCTTGATAGATATGAAGTTTATGAAGCCAGATGATACAAGCTGCTTATCAGATCCCTGGCAGAAGATTCAGAAATGACAGAGATCAGGACTGGAGCCCTGATACTTCTATCAGCAAGGACCAAGCTGAAGAGGTGCCCTAAACAACTTTATCAAGATTGACTAGGCAGTTGCCCTGAAAAATTACAGTTAAGCTAGGGTGAGTTGAATAGTCACCAATTAAGGTCAGCTAATTGGCAATGTACCCAAAGTGCCTAAACCAATCAGAAGGGGTACTGTACACAGGACCTGTCAAAGTTTTGAAAAAGGTCCTTGAGCACTCAGGTGCTGAAACCAGAGGGTTTTTTGTTTTGCCTTCTCACTGAACTTATTTGCATTTACAGTTTTGCCTAATTTTCTTTGCTTATTGCTTCTGCTTGTCACTGTGGCAAAGTAGAAACTGACAGAATAAAGAGCACAAACACCTATTCTGGATTTTTGGGCTTTTGAGTCTCCTACTGATCATCAAAGACAGAGAAAGACTTATGTGCTGAAATGGAAATGACTAAGGAGTTGCAGCTGCAGAATCAACGAGAAGAATATTCCAGAGATATATAATTGCCACTAAAATACATTTAATGTAAGCCTATTAAAGAAGTCTAAAATCCCAGCTCTTCCCAAACTTGTCCTGCGAATGTTGAAGGTTCGAATCAAGTTTCCGTTGGATTTCTAGGGAAAGGTTTAATTCTCACAGACTTTCCCACGTTATTGGATATAATTCATTTCTGGCTTCTGGATGTCACGTATCTTAAGTTTCAGCGACATGAACGATGCTCATTGGTGAATCAGTGCATGGACCACTGATTCTAGAAGTTGGCTAAATTAATATACATGTGAAGATAGTGTACAATTTGTTAGGTCAAATTCTGCCCAAATGATAGGTAAAATGGAAAAGCTTCCATTTTTTGTTTAGAAGATTACATGTTGAAGGTTTAATATAATTTTGAGTTCACCTGCCTTTACGAATAGTAAAATACCTAGAAAAGAGAGAAAAGGAATGCCCAAGAGGAATGCTCCCAGCTACTGTACTTTATAGAAATTAGACTTCCTGGCATAACCTTATAGATATTGTAGAAGCCACTGGATAGTTTGGAATGCAGTTAGCAAAGAAGTCTAGTGCAGACTCTGGGAACAATTACTAGAACATGAAAACTTTTTTTATTATGGAAATGAGATGGATGGTATCTAAACTTGATAAATAAAAAAAAATAGACTGTAGTGAAAAAAGACAAAGCAGGGTTGCTGTAGTCCTTACTTGCATGTAACAGACTATTGTCCTTGTAACTGGACTGGAAACAGTTAATCTATGGAACAAGAATCCAAGGATTCTAATTAATAATATTTATAAGAAGGAACGTAAAGGTTGCAACATGTGACTTCCAGCAAAATCTCTACTTTCAGGCACCTATACTGTATGTAATAAAGGCAGAAGATTTCCCTTTGTTTTTCTCCAACTTTTTCTTTGCAGAAGACTGAACACCTGCCCCACTTTGATAACTTTTAAAACTTTTATCAAGATTGAAAGTATCCTTGTGTCACTATAAGAGCCAGAGCTTGCTTGCTTGCTAGCTTGCTAGCTTGCTAGCTTGCTAGCTTGCTAGCTTGCTTGCTTGCTTGCTTGCTTGCTTGCTTGCTTGCTTGCTTGCTTGCTTGCTTGCTTCCTTCCTTCCTTCCTTCCTTCCTTCCTTCCTTCCTTCCTTCCTTCCTTCCTGGAATGTTACCCTCCCATCCAACCCCATTGCAAAAATCAGAAGAAAAAGAATTATTTCCTTCTGAGAAATTCAGGTGAGTGGCAGCTGTAGTGTCAGCTACAACATTCTGACACAACCATCATTCTGGACAAGCAATTCATCCCAATCTTGATCAATCCCCTTAAGGCTCAGGATTGAGTAGGCAGTGGGAAAGAGTTTATGCCAGCTTGAAAATCAGGGGAAGACAGAAAATATTTAATTCAGCCTCTAGGTAAGGCTCCACTGGTTCAGAAATTGGTTTGGCTCTAAAACTCTTTTTGAATTCCATGTTTATGCCTGAAGAGCAGTTGGTAAGGAAAATGCAGCATTTCACAAAGAGCTACCTTGAAGTCCCTATTATACCTAGCAACCTATATTATTTCCAGGATTTCTTAATTTCATTACATTGTAATCAATGACTAAACACATTCATCCTGTCTACCTGAGTATTTACGCAAACTGTGATAATGACTATTTCTGCACCTGTATTCTAAAATTGGGGATGGCTGCTCAGGTGATGATCTGAGGGGCTGACTTGCAGAAAGGAACTATCATGGTTGCATTAGTACCTGATATTATCTCTAATGCATATTATTGACAAAAATAATGATCTTTGGATAATCTGCAATGTAAAGTTATCTGGCTGAAAACTGAAATTCATCTTTAAAATGAGATGTATATGTATATTAAGATGAGATCAGTCATCAGGTGTATTTTAATCTGATACTTGATTAACAATGTGCTTGGAAGTAGTAGTATTGGACATAAATACTCCAAGATTTCTATAATTTCTTTCCATAGTAGTCATGCCTTCTAAACCTTCAATAGGTTTGGTGACCAAATTTTACGGACGGATGTTAGGAATTACGTCGTATTTTCATACGGTCGTATTAAACGGAACGGACATATACACCAGAGATAAGACGGAGTCTCACCATGATGAAACCCGTTTAACTCCAAATCGTTAACTACATGAAGGACGACCAACACTTTTGTAAGTAGTCAACAAGAGTGTAATGTGAAGTGGGTTGGATGCGTTTTGACAAGTTTTGCCACCTGGTTGTAGGGGGTTTTCTGCCTCTCCTGCTTTATTGGGAAGTCCCAGTCCATAGATCATGCTTGGCAGTTGATCTACAAGGTGGTTTGGGACTTCCTGGTATAGTAGAAGATACTCACCTATTTTAGTTTATGAGGAAATCCATCCCACTCCATCACTAATCCATTGATCCAATCCATTGACTTTCTCTTGACATATTGCTCGTCACTCACTCATCTTTCTTGTTCTAATTCTTTTCTACTTCTTCTTTTCTTCTCTTACTCTTTCTTTTGATCTCTCACTTGCATTTTCTCTTTCTTGCCTGTCAATCCTTATGCTTTTCCTTGCAGTTGCTCATTCCTCTCTATCTAACAGAAGGATGGACTCATTTTTTTACACATTATAAATAATTTCTCCTGAGACCACTAGATCTATATAGGTCAGGAACCCTTGCATTGTCTAACTAGCATCATTTCCAGCTAAGATGGCCACTGAGTAGAATCAATGGGGGACTGTGCCTGCAGCAGCCAAAAATAGGAAACAGGAGTTGGCAAATCCCAGCACCTGCCTCGTCTTCATTACAATTGCTGTTGAAGCATTGCACAGGAGAAAAAGTTTCA